GGGTGCGTGTTGAAAATGGTTCATATTTTGGACCAAATAGAGGGTGAGTGATACATTGTGAGCCCTTAGATTGAATTAAATCTAAGGGTCCATATTTTGACAACGGGACAAAAGTCCCACCAAGGAAAAAAAAACAGAGTTGTTTTATCATATAGATTTATTTGTTAAGACCACTTTCAATTTTTTTTTTTTAAATAAAAGTTGATTTATTTGTTTAGACCACTTTTAGTTTTTTTATTTAAAAGTTTATTTATTTTAAATTGTTAAGACAAAAAAAAAAAAAAAAAAAAAAAACAAATGAAAATTTTTTTTTTTTTTTTTGAATTTTGGGTTTCAGGGACGCCCAAAGGGTGTCACACCTAAGTACAGCTTGAAGCCTCTTGTGCCAAGGCTGTCTGAACTTCTTGGTATTGAGGTTTGTCTATTTCTATTTTCTTCATACGTTTTATGTGGGTTTTTTTGCAGGCGCTGATATGCTTATTTGGTTTAGGTGACTCTCTGCTAATATTGTTCATGTGCCTTCAACAGGTCAAGATGGTTAATGATTGTATCGGTGAAGAAGTTCAAATAATGGTGGCTGAAATACCAGAAGGAGGTGTTCTGCTCCTGGAGAATGTGAGGTTCTATAAGGAAGAAGAGAAGAATGACCCTGAATTTGCAAAGAAGTTAGCATCTCTCGCAGACCTCTACGTGAATGATGCATTTGGAACTGCTCATAGAGCACACGCTTCCACAGAGGGAGTGGCTAAGTACTTGAAGCCTTCTGTTGCTGGATTTCTTATGCAGAAGGTTTGTAGTTTCATGTCCCTTTTGGCTACTTTCTAATAGCAACACAATCTCACCATGTAAAATTCATGTATGCTCATTGAAAATTGGTAATACACATTCATTACTATTGTGACAAATTTTACCCAAAATTGCTCTTGTTGGAGGTTGAATTTTGGATTATCTGATTGTTTGTTAGATATAGATATGAACGTACCTTGGTATGCATTGTCATGCTCTAACCAAAATTAACTTTGCTTTACTGAGCTCACATGTTATTTTGTGCTGATGTTGAGCTTCAGCACATATGCAATGAGAACTAGTTATTAGGCTCAATTGAACCTTCGAACATTCATTTTCATGGTCTAACTTGTCAAGAGGCCTTGAGAAGTTTTTGGAGTTTGGCATGTCTTTATTAGCTTAAGCAAGCTGCGAAGACGATGAGTACCTTCCTGGTTGTACTTATGAGCCCTGCAGGCATGAGAGACTAATAATCAGAAAATCTTTACATTTGCTTTGATAGGCTAAATAGCGAAGCATAAACCATTCACTTGTGTAGAGAAAGTTATGTGTATTGAGTTCGTAGGGACTTCATATTAGATTTTCTTGGTTGGCTCACATTTGCACATAGAGTCTGACTTGTTATACTACCTGCCCTTGTAATTTGCTCTCTTTGTTAGATGAAGTTTGTGCAGAAACTATTTCTAACTAATATATATATACTTTTGGTAACTATTTTTTATATTTACCTGACATGTTTCTTGTGTCTATGCCTTCAGGAGCTTGACTATCTAGTTGGAGCTGTTTCGAATCCCAAGAAACCATTTGCTGCAATTGTTGGTGGCTCCAAGGTATCAAGTAAGATTGGTGTGATCGAGTCATTGTTGGAGAAGGTTGATATGCTCTTGCTTGGTGGAGGTATGATTTTTACATTTTACAAGGCCAAAGGGTACTCAGTTGGATCTTCGCTTGTGGAGGAAGACAAGCTAGATCTTGCAACATCACTTCTAGAGAAGGCCAAGTCTAAAGGGGTGGCTTTAATGCTCCCTACTGATGTGGTTGTTGCTGATAAGTTTGCCGCTGATGCCAATAGCAAGGTTAGTCACTCTCTCTTCCTCCTTTTTATCTTTTGTCCTTCCATGACAGGAGTTTTACAATTTAATCCAATGCTTGTTAGTGTCGAATAAGCCAGGTAATAAAAGAATTGTTTTCCTTGTTTAACTGAATTCTTGATTTGATAATTCTGGCTGCAAGGGGGTTAAACAATGTTTAATATGTTTTGTAGATTGTCCCGGCATCTGGTATCCCTGATGGTTGGATGGGATTGGACATTGGACCTGATTCCATCAAGATATTTGGTGAAGCCTTGGATTCCACCAAAACTATTATTTGGAATGGACCTATGGGTGTGTTCGAGTTCGACAAGTTTGCTGTGGGGACTGAGGTATATACAAGGCTCTGTTTAATGTAGCTTTATAGGGCTGCTTATAGCTTTTTTTTTCGTTTTTTTAATATTTGGTAGTTTGTGTGAGTTTGTGTGGTGCAGCTTTTGCCTACAGCTTACGAGACAAAAATAGTTTAAATAAGTTGAAAAAAACTGATTATCTAGAAGTTGGGCGAAGGCTGTTTTTAGGTTTTGCTTTTGATTATCAACTTTCAACTTTAAAAAAACTGTCCCAAATAGATTTAATCTGCATACTCATTTAAATCTAGTGTTGGCTTCATCAGCCTTGATGGTCTAGCCCTTTTGATATATGGAGAGTGCTTTGTAGTTCAAGCCCCTTTACTCTCTTACAAAGCAAGGCACAAGAGTCCATGTTAGTGTAATAAGAAACAGACAATACATTATGAAGAACTGACCGAAAATCAAAATCAGGGTCGAGCAGTCTATTCAGTTTCACTGGTTTTTCTTACAGCTCTACAAGATGTTGTATTAAACAAGTGATGGATTTGTTTTGTTTTACTATGAACAGACTACCGCAAAGAAATTGGCAGAACTTAGCAGCGAAAAGGGGGTGACAACAATAATTGGAGGCGGTGACTCTGTTGCAGCTGTGGAGAAAGTTGGCCTTGCCGACAAGATGAGTCACATCTCAACTGGTGGTGGTGCAAGCTTGGAACTTCTTGAGGGGAAATCACTCCCTGGGGTTCTTGCCCTTGACGATGCTTGAGCAGTGCTTCAGTTTCTTTTGCTGTCTTGATCTTTTTTGTGGATGCTTTTTTATGTCTGGGGGTCTGATCAGAGTGATTTGAATCTTGTAGAGTTATAATAGTAGATCAAACTTTGAATAATTGGATTCTAGTGGGTAATGATCATTTGTGTTGACAGGCATTGAATGATCCTTCTTATGTAGGTCATAATGGATAAATGTGATCTATATATTTTATTTTTGAGGTATGTTATTGAAGGATGGTATTGCTGAGATCAATAATATGATCACTGTGTTTACATGCAGCCCAAAACAAATATGAAGTTTTTTTAATATGATGTTTGGTCTAAAGAAACGCGTGTTTGGGTTTTTTGGGTTAACGGTGGGGTTGTTGATGTTTTTTTTGAAAGCTCGTGTGCTAACAGGAAAACTTGCTGGTTTCTTTCTCAAAGAATGACTAAGCCCTTTGATGAACAAAATTTTTATCAAATATCAAACAGTCATTGTGTTTATGGTGAATTATTTTATTTTAAAAAGTCATGATTGCATATAAAGAAGGAAGAAGAATTGATTTCATACCAAAATGATTTTGGCCATAAAATATTGTAATTGGAGAGACGATCGCGATGGTGAATTATTTTATTTTAAGAAGTCATGATTGCATATAAAGAAGGAAGAAGAATTGATTTCATACCAAATGATTTTGGCCATAAAATATTGTAATTGGAGAGACGATCGCGATGGGACTCGAACCCACAATCTCCCGCTCCGGAGGCGAGCGCCTTATCCATTAGGCCACGCGATCTGTTGTGGCTGTTTTCGGTCATATTACGTTATAACTTCAAAACTCTACTGACATCATCTAGTAGTTTTACCTTACAAAATTTATGGAGAAATTACTCATAAATCCCATTTTGATAAATGTTGTTCTGGTTAGTCCTGAATGTTTTTTCTTAAACCATTTAGTCCTGTTTATGATTTCTCTCCCTTCCGAACATCAACAACATCAACTACATCATCACCATCAACAAACATCAACTATATCACCAACGTCACTAAAAAAACATCATAAAAAATCAACCATATCCAGAGAAACCCAGATTCGATTTTAATGGTGTTACAAATAGATATTATTCAATGATGTTTAATCTGCTTCAAGCCTACCTCCTGTCCACCATCCCAACCTTCCCCTCCACCTTCATCTCCACAAACTCCTCCACCGTATCCAGCACCAGCCTCATCGCGTCCACCGATTCCGCCGCCGCGATCTCCGCCCTCAGCGCCACCGACTCCTTCCTCTTCACCAACAGAAACCTCACCAATCCCTTCGAATCCATCCTTCGGCAACACATTCTCAACACCTCCGACAAACTCCTCTCTCCTCCGCCGCCCTCAGCCTTCTCGATTATGAAGGCGGTGGAGTACGAGGCCTCATCCCTACTCCGCGAATCAGATTTGGGTTCTGAACCCATCTCCCTCTCTCTATTTCTCACAGAGCCGATCTGAGATGTGGGTTTTTGAGATGTGTTCCGAATCAGATCTGGGTTTCGATCTGAGATGTGTTCCGATTCAGAGCCGGGTTTCGATTTGAGATGTTTTTGATGTTATGATGATGTTTTTTTTTTTTTTGAACCGGATGTTATGATGATGTTTGAACAAAAAAATTGTTACGATGATGTTAGATCGAAAAAAAAATTGTTATGATCATGATGTTTGATCAGAAAAAATTGTTTAGTTTGACGGATGATTTTTAGTGTTTGTTTGATGATGTTAATGCTGATATTTTGATGATGTTTGTGGGTGTTTCACGATGATCAGATTATCAAAACATCATCAAATCAAGAACACCCAATAGGTCCTAACATCATCAAAAATGTTTGATGATTATTTGATGATGGTGGTGGGTGTTAACCCATTTACTAATGTCTTTACATTTAGTTGAACATTAGATTCTTTGTTCAGCATGTTTGGTCCTAACCCACTTGATAAATAGCAGAACATCAAATGTTCTGTTTTTGATGATCATCGGTGATAATCTGACAATCAAATTTTTTGTTTTGGTGTTCGATGTTTTAGCATCTGTGTTTGTGGGTGTTTGAAACATCATAAAAAAGGTATATAATCTGATGTTTGTTTGATGATTATAATGTCTGATGTTGATGATAACCGGATGAACACCCACAAACATCGGATGAACACCGTTAAACATTAGGGTTATTTTAATCGTTATTTTGATGTTTAATCGTTACTAAAAAAATTGTTTAATCATTATTTTTGATGTTGTTTTGATGATAATGTTGTGATGTTTAGTTTCAATTTTTTAAAAAATAAATTTGATGTTTTAATGTTTGATGAATAATGTTTGATGCTTGATGAATAATCTTAATGTTTAATAGTTGTGTTTGATGTTTGATTATAATGTTTGATGTTGGATGAATAATTCTAACGTTGATAACGTTTTCACCGAAATTATACGAATAATTCTGTCGTTGGTAATGTTTGATGTTTGATAAATACTTCTGACGTTACTAATGTTTGATGTTTGATGAATAATGTTTGACATAAAAAGGCCTATAGTAAGCTTTTAGAGAAATAGGACCTATTAGTCCAACAAAAAACATTCGGGACTAAGTAGATTAACATTTTCAAATTTGGGATTTATTGGTGCTTTCCCCAAATTTTATATATTTATACAAAAACAATTTCTACAAAAATAATAATATTGAAGAAAAACTAACAAATAAATTAACTGGAAACAATGTTATATTAACATTACGTTTGTCTTAATTTGTATACTAACATATCACCCGTGCTATGCACGGTTTGTGTTTCACTACTTTGTCTTTTTTTTTTCTTTTTTTTAATACTATATTAAAATTTCATATTTTGATACTAATCGTATGTGTTGGACTTTTCAAGAAATTTTTTTCATGCTTGTTCTTAATGTATTAAAATGTTATTATAAGGAATAATAATCATGTGTTGGATTTTTCAATGAATTCATATGTACTTCACAATTATTTTTATATATGTGAATTGTGATTTTTAAATGTCTTTTTTTTTAAATGTCTTTTTTTTTATATTATATTAAAGTGTAATATTTTGATAATAATCATATGTGTTGGACTTTCAAGAAATTCATGTGTTGGACTTTTCAAGAAATATTTTTTTTTATGATTGTTCTTAATGTATTAAAGTGTTATTATGGGGGATAATAATTGTGTGTGTTGGGACTTTTCAAGGAATTTATATGTGTTGGACTTTTTAAAGAATTTTTTTTATACTTGAGGGCTGAGAGAAGTTAATAAATGCTAAGATATTTTTTTTAAAAATAAAAAATCAAAAAATTTAGGTTGGGATATTGGAGCTCCCACAAGACTTGGGGGGTAGAAACCCCCTTTTTCTTAATATATACTAGCACATCACCCGTGCTATGCACGGGATTAATTTTTTTTTAAAAAAAAAATCATTCATAGTTATGTCAAACATATTTTTAAATTGTTAGCATAGAATATATGTAATTTTAAAAGAAAATATTGACATTGTATAATTAAAGTAATAAAAATAAGAATTTATTACATTTGTTCGAAATTTACTGCATAAGTAAAACAAATAATAACTAAAATCTAAATTGTTGTGAGCCTTCCATCAGCATTCATGCATTGTCAACATTATAGTTAGTATTATAATTAATGAACAACACATATATTATGTATTTATAAAATGTTATAAAATAAAAACATTATACTTACATTTTTTTTTTACTTTATGAAAGGTATTGACATTTTTCACACCAATCTATATTTAAAACAAAAGTTACGCATGGTGCACAATCTAGTTGACGTGGCATTGTTGGTACATGTATGATAAATGCATAGGTACGGTCTTGGCATGACGAAATATAATATTTAATCATTCTAACGCCATTATCCCATAAAATTTTGGAATTATAACTTTGTGTTTGAAAAAGTAAGAAATTTATAATAAATTTTATAATTTCCTACATTTGATCTCATATTCTTCAAATATGATGGTTGACATCGTAAAATAAACTCTGCCCGTTTATCTTGAACAGTGAGATTTATTGAACCAGTACTGTCTTTGACCACAAGGTTAACATTGTATCTTATCAACAAAAAAAAAAACGACACTTGTTAAAAGGAACTATTGTACCTAATAAAAAATTAAAACACTTGTTAAGTTTGAATTATTATTATATATAGTAATTATTTACCTAAAGAAAATTACCTTGTTATAATATCAATATCATCATGTAAGCAGTGACGGTAAATAATGTGACCATAATGATATTCAACTTTTTGATGGTAAGTTTTGCACAAATCAATCCAAAGGTTGTCAACATCAATTTGTTCGATGTACCCAAGTATTCGAAAATATGAAACCTACAAAATATTTGAAAAAACATAAATTAATCTCTCTATAAACAAATTATATACATATCGTTTAATTTTCATTAATTGGGATGTTAACAATTATATTAAAAAATCATATTAAAAAAAAATCAAATTATAAACAAAAGGAGATAACTCCAATCATACAAATCACATTTTTTTTAATGCTATCTAACTGCAATCACATTTTTTTCATAATAAAAAATAATAATTGAAAAAAAGAACCATTAAAATAGTAAATAAAAAGATTATTTAGAAGTATTGAACAAACTACAATTATATATTTTTTTTCTTTTTGTGAGTGTTTATGTTTATCTAACTTCAATCATATTTAAAAAATCAAATTATAAACAAAAGGAGATAACTTCAATCATACAAATCACAATTTTTTTAATGCTATCTAACTACAATCATATTTTTCTCATAATAAAAAAAAATTGAAAAAAAGAACCATTAAAATAGTAAATAAAAATATTATTTAGAGCCGTTGAACAAATTACAATCATATTTTTCTTTTTGTGAGTTAACTTCAATCATATTAAAAAATTAAATTATAAACAAAAGGAGATAACTTCAATTATACAAATCGCAATTTTTTTAATACTATCTAACTACAATGACATTTTTCTCATAATAAAAAAAATAATTGAAAAAAATAACCATTAAAATAGTAAATAAAAATGATTATTTAGAACCATTGAACAAACTACAATTACATTTTTCTTTTTGTGAGTGTTTATGTCTAACTTCAATCATATTAAAAAATAAAATTATAAATAAAAGGAGATAATTTCGATCATACAAATCACAATTTTTTTAATACTATCTAATCATCATCAATGATTAAAAAAAATCAATCAGTCAATTGATAATTAAAAAACACAATAATTTAC